ACTACGTAATTTATGTGATTTTTTTTCTATATATGGTCCTTCATTGAAAATTTAGAAAATAAAACAGACATTAATGGCTAATTTAAGTACTTTTATAAATTAAAGAAATTTAAAATAATAAATAAAAATTAGTTAATCATTATAATCACACACAAAAAAGGAGTAATATGTAAGTAATCAAATTTGCTACTTCCGATAAATAATATATTTAAAAAATTAACTTATTAAAATTGACTTAAAAATATTTTCTTCCACTTATTGCATTAAATTTATTGAATAAAAAAATATTATCCTTAACGTATTAGATATAACTTAATAATATTTTTTCTACTTATTGGACCAAATTTTATCCCTAATATTTTTTAGCTTAAAAATTAAAATTCTTGGTTCATTAACGACACAATTACATGGCTTTTAATTAAATTTGGTATTTATATAATTTACACTTAAATTTTAAAAAGCCTTTATTTTGTTGGTCCAATAGTCTGACCCAATCAATACTATTGGTTCACATAAATATTTTGACCTAATAGAAATTAATTTAAAACAGGGCTGAAAAATAATTTTATTATTTAGTTGTTTTAATTATATAAAATGGATTTTTAGATTGTGAATAGAATGGGTCAGAATTTTATGTAGATCAATAATAAAGACCAGAAACAATGTGTTTGATTAAAAATATTAAATCTTACAAAATTGTAGTTTGGTTAGAATTTCTTATTGATCAATAATAAAGACAATCTGTTAAATCAAATTTTAATTTAATTTTATAAAAAAAATTTAGTCTGATAAATGAAAGAAATGCATTTTTAAGTCGTTTCTAATATGCTAAAGAATTTTTTTCTATTTAATAAGTAGAACCATAGAAGAATGAGCAAATTTAATTTAATAGATTTTTTTTTTAAATTGAATAGATAGAAAGTGAATATTATTCATACATTAAATATATTTTTAACCATTCTCATTTTGAAATAAATTTGTGAGATAAAAATTTAAAAGATTTTTCTACCAATACTATAGCTGAAGAATTTTCCATGTCTGCCATGACATAAAAGATAAAATAAAAAGAGGCAATCATTAATTTGTAGAATATATGGTGATGGAGATATACACGTGAAGTGAAGAATCATTAATCCAACATATATTTCGATAGAATGACTGATATTCCTCCGTCTTTAATTAGAAATGTCAGATTTAATTTATTTTTAAAAAATAACTTATTAATTATATCTTATAATTAAATTGAATTGAAATATAAATATCGAACATCAAACAAAAACGAAATAACTCTCAACTTGCACCTTCACTTTTCATGCTACATTTTGTCTACCAAAATTTATAGGCAACTATTAGTAAAACTCTTTTCTATTTGTTTTTGGTTGCCAACTAAACAATCCAAAACCTTGTAATAAAAATAATAACTTAATCCATTATAAATATTTTATATGTACACAATACACACATCATTACTTATTTTATTTATTGAAGTGATAACAACCTAGCTAGCTCTCACTCAACAAGTATATGCACATGGGATGAGTGGCCCAAATTTTGACTAAGTGTGGAAGCATCAATTCTCTATAATAAATTTGATTTTGGCATCACCCCTACAAAGAGGAAATATATAGCAATAGATGTCTAACAAAAAGTTCAAACTACTATTATTAATGGATTAATGCAAGACTCACACATTCATGACACAAATAAAGCACTAACATTAAGCAATAACCAACTTGTTTGACATTATAACTTGATGAGAACTTTTCAAATGATTGCAATACGATAATTCTGTTACTATGTATTGGATTAGCAGTTGATTCAGAATTTAAATGTTATAAATTCTGAATAGAATTAAAAAAATAATAATTTTAAAATGTATAATTAATAATCGATCTTATACTTCTTTATGTGCATATCTATAGGGGCTCAACTAGAAGAGTTTGATTCTATTTATGTACACAAAAACTCATTGTTCCATCTTACACTACTAACTCGCTTTAAAAATGTCTACGAAACTTGTCTACTTTTTTACTTGAACAATGATGATATTTGAAGTAAGAAAAGAGAACAGGAGCGCTATGTTCCGATAAACATATGATGATAGTTAAGATAGGAAGTTCACACACCTGATAATTCAAGTAAAAGAACTCGAAAATCAAAAGGAATACTTAATGTTTGAGAACATTTTTTCACATGTATGGGCCAGCATGTTTGAGCCCACTAGTAAGTCAAGTTAATTTGAATGGATTTTCTTGCCCTTTTTGTTTGATCAATAGCAACAACACAAAGGACCCATTCACATGCTACACCAAACATTATTAACACCATCAAGGAAAAGAGCTTTCTTAGTGTACTTAGCTCAATGTCCACAATAACTATTCCTATCTAATGTTCAAACCATAACTTAACAACCCTTCCCCTCTATTTATTTCGTAATCATCTGATATTTGAAATTTAACTGATTAGAGTATTCAGTATTAGAGTTTATAAAGAATTTGAAACGTCCAATTAAAAAGAAGTGACTCTTATTGTCCGAGAAAAAGGGGGCGAGTGTACATTAGGCTATGTGAAACAAACAAAGTACAAGGATAGCACCCTACTCTCATAGTCCTCAATCGACAAATCTGGATCGATGGAAACTTACTCGATTCGCACGTCTACAGGGCACCATACTGACTTTTATATTTACATTCCATCACACTCCTTTGGAGGGTTCTTTCCTCAAAAGCAAATCGTTAAAATATACTCTTCTCATGAATCGAAAAAAATATCAAATATGTTGATACCTTCGGTTAGTCAAACATTGTTACTATAACGAGATTTGACTGTATTTTATTGTAAAAGTAGTATCGTGTCAATTTTGTGTATTTATTTTTACTCTGTGGGGGTCCAATGCTGCTTTGTTTTTGACCTATCAGTAAAGATATTTGTTTCAATCAAAGAATTTAATTCAAATGTCAATCTCATATACTGTACTATTTACCTTAAAGAAGGAAAACCCTATTTTTATACCTCAATCTTTTCTTTAATTCTTGTGTCTATAATTTCTTTAATTTTTTTTTTGAAAAATTGATATAAATAACGCTCACCAAAATAATTATCGATAAATATTTATATAGATTTAACATATGATTTATATATACATATAGATTGATAAATATATATCAAATATGTTACTTTCCCATCAATTTAAGAATTGAACTATTTGGACCACAATATCATATGGGCCATTTAAGCTTCAATATCACATTTATAACGCTGATAACAACCTTGTACAAGAATAAATTACTTATCATATAGTATTTTCTCTATTTTCTTTTTATTTTTTGGATTTCTCTTACATATAATGACAATATAAATATTACACAATAAAGGTAATTTAACATGTTGTAGAAATTTATTTGCCTTTAGTTTTCAAGTCATTAATGTTATTTATTAGGTGCTAATAGTTAGTTGAGAATATGTTTTAGTCATGTTAGTACAATTATTTTAGATTTTTTCATTCCAATAATATAGAGAACTTATGGTATTTTTATTTTTATTTTGTGTAGTGTTCGGCTATGATGAATTCAAAATGAAGAAACAAGATCACTAAGAATTCATAAAGTCGATTTCAATTGTTAGATTTATTTTTTTCAAAAAGAATAATTTAAGAACAGAACTGGCCAAGAAGAGTTGAAGAACCAATATGTTTCTTTAAGAAGTTTCAACCTTTCAATATATTATCCATTGCTTGATTATTAAGCTTTTATTTCATTGCCTTAAAATTTACATGAGGAATAAATGGAGGAATCCTATGTTATATTGAAGAAGAATTCAAAGGGATAATAATTAAAAAGAAATATTGTTATGTCCCAAAGCTAATCATATATATATATATATATATACATATTTGTTCCAAAATGTGTTGAGGACCATTTTACTAAATATTGAAAAAGAAAGATAAGTAAGTAGTTATAGTGGTATTTTCATTAATTTATCATGATGGAATATGACAAGGTTGTGAGAACATGCTAAAGAGAAGGTGCAATTTTTTTTTGTCGATTTTCTTTCTTTTTTTTTTTTTTTAAAAAAAGAGAATTATTTGGCTAAGCAATAATGTAGAATTGAGATTGAAGTAAAAATAGACTAAAGGATGTATTTGCGTCCTGTTTAATTTCTTCAGATACTTTGTATTTAAAAGTTATTGATTTGACATATTTAAATTAACGATCAGTAAATCTATAAGCGCTTTTAGAAGTTCTACATTACTAGGATAACGAAAATTTTAAGGCGATGTAATGCTAATGACAATAGGTTCGTTGTAGCCTTTAAATTTTCATATCACTTTTACAAATAAAATTCATGAAAACACAATCATTCAATCGTACCATTTAATAGTGATACAAGAGAAACTCTTTTCGGCCCAAATAATGATTGTTGTTTAGTTATTTTTGACAAAGCTTAAGCCCAACTTGAAAAAAGTGGCAAGGTTGAACTTTGGAATTGGACTTGACATAAAAAATTGGGAAACTTTCACATGTAGCCACTTAAAAAATAACCTAATAATTCTTCATAGCTATAGTTTAATAGTTATAATTCGTAGCTACATGTTATATGGAGGAGAGAGGAGAACGAGACTGGGAGAGAGAGGTGAGAGAGAGGGGGAAAATAGTGGGAGAGAAGTGAATCATATATGTATATTGGTTGGAAAATTATATATTATACATATGTATTTGTATATATGACAAGCGAGAATGGGATATGGAGGAGAGAGAGGAGAGAGGTGAATTGTGTGTGTATATATATATATTCTGGCTAATCATACATATACAAATGTGACTAACGGAGACAACAATTAAAACATTTTCAAGTGATACTATTTTTAGGCTTTAAGGATTCATAAATTATAAATCGATCATCCAGAGATAAAACTTACTTTTTTTCATATTAAAAAAACAATGAGAGCAATGACAATCTTTAAATATTACTTAATTTAATTTAAACCGGCCAAATCAAGTTTAAATATTCGATGTGGTAGCCTCTTCTTCAGCCTTCTTTGCTTTCATTCTTTCTTTTAGTTCTTTGATATATTCTCTCATCACATGCATCCAATCGCTGAGATCTTCAAGCTTTATCATGTCAATAGAAAATTTTCCTTTCATATTATGCAGTTGAACCAGCATCTCTTTGCGGTTGTTCTCCTCCGTTAGCTTTCGAAGTTGTTCCTTTTTCTCATTTATTAATTGTTGGAGAATTTCTCCTATTGTCCCACTGGTTTCAAATTGCTCACGCATAGGCAACTTTTTAAATTTTTCAAAGGTTTTAATGGCACCAACATAATCTGGATATACTATAGGTTTTTTGTGACAATCATTATAGAAGACAGCAGCAATCTCAACACCATCAAAGACACTGAGTTCTTGAACTATTTTGAAAAACTTTTTTTGTGATTTTTGGTTTTTTTCGATGCTCATTTTCTTTGTAGTAACTAAAAGAAAGAGGAAAATGTATTTGATTAGAGATGATGGGTGATCAAATGGCATTGTTGTTTGTGTTTTTTTTTTTTTTTATTTGCCTAGAATTGACTTCTATTTATAGGCCAAGTTAAGATTTTATAAATCTTTGAATAAGTTTTGAATTGGAAAATTTGTAATTGTCATACCAAAATCATTTTGGAGTACAATTAAATTATGATAGATTTGATGCCAAGTTGAATTTTAAATTTAAAGAGGCGCGTAAACAAAGCGGGATATTTTATACCACGCGGGTGAAGCGAAAATTTTGAAGTATGGGTCGGTTTAGGGGTGTCAAAAAATGAATCCAAACATAGCTAACCCGCTCAACCCGTTCAGAATTTTAAGGGTTGGGCTTAAGATAATTTGAATTGAGTTTAATCTCAACTCATTCAAGCTTAACCATTTGAAGAGAATTATCGATTGAGCCCAATTCAATTCCAATTTCAACCCATTTTAAAACTTTTTATTAAGATATTTTTCTATATTGAAGGTATGAATTATTATCTATTTAACATCTTTAAGGATTTATCCATCCATTTGTTACGTTTTTAACGAAAAATTCTTGAGTGAAAATTTAAATTGTGATTATAAAAGTTAAATTTCAATATGTTAAATTATTGAGATTAATGGGGTCAAATTGCGCGGGTGAAGATTCAATTCATTTTTTTAACTCATTTGAGCCCAAAGTAAACTTGGGCGGGTCAAGACCCAAACTGATTTCTATTCAACCCATTATAATATTCAATTTCAATTCAACCCGTCTATTTGACACCCCTACGTCGGCTCATATGTCCTATAATTTATGTTAATAATTTGTACTACGAATTTCTTACTGTTATTTTTCACTACAATGATTTTCTAAAAGCTTGGAAAAAAATAAGGAAACTATTAATCCAAACTAAATGACGTAATCATATTTTGATTTAATTATACCCCATATCAGACTGTGGCTATTTCGCCTCTCTCCTTGGTGAATCTCGCTCGCCACTCTCGGCGGTCTCTCTATTGCCTCTCTCGTTTTTATACAAACACAAATGTATAAAATGTGTTTGTGTTTGTATAAAGCGAGAGGAAATTATATATATACACATATTTTCGTTCCACTCTCTCCCAGTTCTCACTCGCCTCTCTCACTTTATACAAACACGAATGTATACATTGCGTTTGTATATGTATAAAGCGAGAGAAAGTTGTATATATAAATACAAATATATATATTTTTGTCCTATACACTTACGATTATACAAATACAAATCTTCCTCTGCCCAGATTTATTTTGTCTTTCTCTCTTTTCTTAGTTTATACAAACACAAATTATGCAATTGATTTTTTTGTATATGTATACCGAAACAAATTATACAATTATTTTTTTTTTGTATATATGTACAGCGAAATATGCATATTAATAGTCATAGCAAATATAAAATTGCTATGGATGCAATTATGCAAACTATAGTTATAACATACAAATATAATTTTTGTTTTTGCTATAATTCAATGGGGTAAGGGTCATGTAGGTTTTTCCTTTGTTTTTTAATTGGAAAAATTGCATGAATTGATATATTTTAATGAATAATAACTGATTTTAGCGATATTTTTTATTATTACTATTTATAACAATACTATGTTAAATCTGCAATATGTATTAAAAGTAAATTATGTATGCAATATATATGAATTGTAATTGTTTTTTGAAATATATTATGTTTGTTTGGTAAAAATTTGATACATTGTATTATCAGTGTATTAAAATGTGTGATAAATGTATTCTCCGTCATTCAAACTTGTATTATTTGTGAATAATAAATTGTTTTTTACAATACGTAGTAAACTTATATTATAAATGAATTAAAAATGATCAACTGAAAAAAATGTTATTGCTATAAAAAATAAATATTATTTTATTATAATATATTTATGTAAATTTTCCTTTTTTAATTTTATTATTTTAGATTATATTTTTTAAAAGACAAAGTATGCAATTATTTAGGCTAGAAATTGCCCTTTAGCAAGTATTTTTGCGATACCAATACGAGAAAGTCTTAATCATAATAAATCAACAACTACTTTTGTTAAATAATTTCACAAAAAAATATATTTCAATAACAATTGAGTAGTCAGAAATGCAAAGTTTAACTAACACTATATAAATTTATGCATAGCCTTGTATAATTTTACACTACAAAAATCATTATAACACCATGTCAAGTTAGAGTCCACATGTAAATGAATGATTAATTTTATATCTTACCACAAAATTTCGATATGGTATACGATATTTCAATATTTATTTTATAAATACCAAATATAGTATCAAATACCAAAAAAAAATTGAAGTCTTTTCAAATACCATAATATCCATAGTGCGATATAAAAAAAAACAAATTCGGTATGATATTCTATATATAACTAGATGGAGCCATTCAAAAAGAGATCTTAAAAATGTATTCTTTACCTTACGGGGAGTAAGTCATTTATTTGGTTTCCCATTCAACATTCGATACCCACATTAAAGTCCAACTATTTCGAATTTGAGCCTCATTCTTAAGAAAAACACTCCCTACCTACCAATGTTCGTACCCAAGGCTCGAACCCAAATTTCTAATTAATTGAGGGACAACTTCATAAGTTTAGTTGGAAAAACACTTGAGTTAACAGAGAAAGTTGAACAATATTTACCAAAAGATGTTTTCCTTCATACCAAACACATCCCTAAGTTCACTTTGGAATACCTAAAATACTGAAATAATAATTGTATACAAACACACAAACAACAAAAAATACAGAAGTGCATACAGAAAAACATAACAAGACACTTTTTTTCAATGCCTACAACTTGCAAATAACAATTTCCCACATATATTGGTTCAATGAACAAAAAGATCAGTTAAAAACTTACACAAAAGATGCAATTTGTTTGAACCCTTTTTCAAGTGCATACACAATTTCCACCACATTACATTTTACAACATGATTAAGCCACTAAAGATTCTAAACAGGAGAAGTTAAGACGATTAGGACACCAACCACGAAAGGCCACGGACATCAGCCTGCAATTATATACAAAATTCAGTTGTTACTTCAGCCCGGAACCTGCTGATGCTTTTGAAGATCCCACCATTGCATGATCAACTGATCCAATAAAAAGCTGTGACGAAAATGTATTAGTTTTTCTTAATTTACCAGGAAAATCCTTGCCTGAATCACCTTTCAAAGAAAGATTTTTCCTAATTCGGTTCTTGTTTAGTGAGAGCATAGTGCCACGAGATGGTCCGTGCAAAGCCCCCTCGACACAATCACCAGAATGGGCACAACCCCAAGGCTTGGATGGTCCTTCTTCACTGAATGGTTTAAGCCTAGGAAAGAACTTGGAGAAAACTCGCTGCTCTGGAGAACTACCTTCTTCAAGCTTGGCACAGATTGGGCATGGAGGATCACTTTTACATGATTTTGGTGTAGCTTGCTCCAAACATTCAGCATGAAATACATGGCGGCATGAAAGGACCCCAGCAACTGGCATATCTCCACTTCTCACAATTCGTCGGGAACTCCAAGGCGATCTTTGTGAAAGAAACCTCTCGCATAACCCACATCTGAAACAATCTGAAGGGTTACAAGGTTTACTTAGGAAGTCAGAATGAAAAGATTCAGAAGCCTCTGTTAAGTCAAGACTGCCACTAGCACTGCTCAAGCGGTGTTTATCTCTTTGTGATGTTGAGGCATCAAATTCGAGAAAACCTGCTGAGAGGCTGTCAATAGCTTCTCTTCTAGGTGTTGTTTCAGTTGGAAATGACAGAGGATGTATGGGTTTTGACATAAAGAAACGGCGACTTGGGAAGCTACGATAAGATGAATGGGACTTGGTGATTGAATCACAGTCACTACTGTCAGATCGGGATGAAGTTGAGCCTCTGCCATCCCTAGCAATTGATGCTCCCTGTCAAGAAATTTATTGTCATAAGAAAGCTGTATTTAGCTTACAAACTTCAAAAGAAAGGAGTTAGTGGAGAAAAGCAAGACAGATGCATACCTCCATTGTAGGTGAAAATGAAAATGGCCTCGTAATTGCATCTACCAAGCAAAAAATACAGTAAAATAATCAGTACAGCAAAATATCCAGAATGACAAAGCATTGGTTGAAACCAAAATGCCAAATGTGCCAAGAGCATTAACAGAATTGATTCTTTGAGCATATCAACTTGCTAACTTTGACTCTGCTCAACATGAAGCGACCATTAACTTAGACATCACCAAAGTCCAAAGGGGAGAGCACGCTCGCAATAACTGTAATGAAAACATAATTCAATATCATATGGAGATGGATTGGCTTTTATATGTTGTTTGATGTTGGTTACTCTGGTCTCGCTTTTTTTTTAACAAGTACTCTCCTCTTTTTTTTAACATCAAGATCCTAAGATTGTGGATGATGATCTTCATCTCTACTGTAAATACTAAACTAGAATTTGAACTCTAGATGTCGCCTCCCACACATCTAGTATAGCAATGCATTGCCCTTAAACCAAAGCCCAGGGGGCATTCGTAAGTGTTCTTTAACTAAACATTTTGGTGTTTTAAGCATACTATGACTCATGAAATAGATTAAATGTCACTTAAAAGAGTTTTTAATTAAAGTAAATATGGTACCTAAGAGGTTGTCACTTTATTTGATGTAATGGCCAAACATCTCTCGAGGTCTCCAAGATTTCATCTCACCGCTACTTTGTCGGATACAAATTTGACATTTCTGCCACATATCTACCCTTAATATTCTATATGCCTATGCATTCATTAGATTCATGTGTTCCTTAAAAGATTTACATGATATTTCTAGTGTCTTCCTTACTTAAGTTACGATTCATAAAATGATGTTAGAGATATATGAATAGCTAATGATCCAGAGATTTGGTTTGATATTTCAAGCTACTGAGCCACAAATATTATAGGCTATTGAGCCACAG